TTAGGGTTTCGGAGAAACCCTAGAAATAAGAAAGACTTGGAAACAGGTCTGATCTTGAGTCGGAGAGGTCAAGAATCAAGCTCCTGAGTCTTGAATATGCCGGAGCATGGCCGGAGGAGCCATGAAATCAAAGGTCTGAGAAGATCGGAGAGGGAATCGTCGAGGTCAGGCCTCGAAGGTTCGAACAACCCTGGCTTACTGGTGAAGATAGGTGAGTACCAACTATCCATGGCCTGAGAAGCCATGGATTCCGGTGACCGGAGGTTGAAAAAGGGGTAGGAGGAGGCTAGGGTTTCAGAGAGTTTTTGAGAGGATTTGAGAGAGCAAGATGTGTAAAGTATGTTAAAAGTGAGTAGTATTTTAAGTAAATCAATATAACTCTTAATTATGTGGGTAATTGGTTAATTATTGAATTAGTGAGGGATTTAATAAGTTAATGATCAAAGTTAGGGAATTATTGGACAAACTTGGTAAACCCAACATGGCAGCAACTCAATCAATATTTGGTGACTCTTACTTACATTATTAGATGGCATTTTAAGAGATATGGGTAGCTAAGGTAAGCATTATTAAGGGGGGCCCACACCACTATAAAAAGTGACATTTCTAATGCCATTCATTCATTTTTTAGGAAGTCTCATGCCAATCTTTTATGAAATGCTTCAACAAAGATCATACATTTCACTGGTAACGTGAATCACTCCAATAATTCATGTGAGACTTCTTAGCGTAGTAGCAATGGGATTTTGCGATTCTATGGGAGCACAGTATAATATTTCTCAAGAATATCATATGAATTGTTTCATACTTCGATCCACTGTTACGTGTTGTGGCAATCAACGGTGTTAAAGGGATTGTCAAGAGAATCGATTCCGGTATGTTAAGGCTATCCCTTCTTTCTTTTTGGCATAATCTATACGACACGAACGAAATGAGAAAATGCACAAATTCCATAAATGACTCTATTCATAGAAGTATTAGAGATGTCTATGTTCTTGAATTCCCATGTCTTATTATTCTATCGTCTATTCATGGGTCTCAAAAAATACGTAAGTTGATAAAGTTTGTTTCATGATATTAATCAGAGATATAATGGTCTTTTGAAGTTCCGAGAGATTTTATTGACGTACTTCTCATGCATTGTATTCATTTATACATGTACATTGGCCCATGACCAGATGGAGTTATATACACATATATATGTATATATATGTATATGGGATATGGAAAAAGGTTACGTCGTTATATGCACACCACCACCTGATCAGCTGATATACGTTGATGATTTTGCCCACAATGGCCGAGATGATATGATGGGATGCCCTCAGAGGCTTGATGATGTTATGAATACATGTACCTATGCACGACATGACATTCATATGTATATGCATGACACTATAAGTATTTCATGATTTACAGAGTTATCCAGACTTACAGGTTGAGTCATTTACTCTATATTTCTTCCATGTCTTTTATATACTTATTTATGTGCCTTACATACTCGGTACATTATTTGTACTGACATCCTTTTTGCCTGGGGATGCTGCGTTTCATGCCCGCAGGTCCCGATAGAAAGGTCGAGAGTCCTCCAAGTAGGCTATCAGCTCAATAGAAGATGTTGGTGCGCTCCATTTGCTCTGGAGTTGCTTGTTTGGTCAATATGATTTAGACGCGTAGTTGGTATGGCAGGGCCCTGTCCCCGACCTTTATGTTAAGTGTGTACTCTTAGAGGCTTGTAGATATATGTTATGTATACGAATGCTTGTATGGCCTTACCGGCCTATGTTTTGAGTTTACAAATGATCATGTTGGCCTTATAGGCTGGTATATCACGTGTATAAGTTTTTATATCAGGTTGGGTCGTCATATATTGAGTATTCCCCTATGTTTATTCTGGTTAGCCCATGACGGCCCGTTTGGCCCATTTGCCAATGAAAGTATAATAAGAAAGATATGTTATGTTAGTACTCGGTTAAGTAAGGTACCGGGTGCTCATTGCAGCCCATAGGTTTGGGTCGTGACAGCTAACTTACGAGTTGCACATTTGAATGATTTGGATGAATTCCGGTATCATGCGTTTGAAAGTTTGTCATTGTACAAAAAAGATGAAATATTTTCATGACAAGTATATTTGGAACAAGGAGTTCAAAGCCGGTGATCTAGTGTTGTTATTCAATTCAAGATTGAGGATGTTTCTTGGTAAGCTTATATCAAAGTAGAATAGTCCCTTTGGAAGTTGTGAGTGTGACTCCATATGGTGCATTGGACTTGACGAATAAAAAGGATGAAATCTTTCGAGCCAATGGTCATCGGGTGAAGCATTACTTGGAAAAAATTGGTGAGAACCACATGGTGGCGGTTCTTTACTTCAAAACTAGTGATTTGACATTGCATCATACCATGGCATTAAATAAGGCACTTCTTAGGAGGCAACCCAAGCTCTTTCCTTTTTTATTTTTCTATATTTCTTAGTGTAGAAGTTTATTTTCTTGTTTTGATAAGATTTTATGTGTGTTGCATTGACAAGTGTTATGTACTGTGAGATGGCAAGAAGAAGGCTGAAAATTGCGGGCCGCACTTTAATTGGTACACCCGCAAATCCTTGGTTGCAGACGGCAAATTGGAGTTGCGTCCATAGATTTAGATTGTGGAGCACACAAATAGAGGGAAGATCAGGTGCCCAAATGCAAAGTCTCTGAACTTTTTTGTCATTAGTGAGGAGCGTTTTGCGGCTATAGATGTCAACTTCAGAGAATGATAGGATTCGAGGCCTGCACAGTTGTGGCTTCACTTCAAAAGTGCGGATCACACATCCACAAGGAACAAAAGTTACCTAGATAATCGAGTGTGAACTAAACTCCAATTTCTACTTTTTGAGCTCCTGAATGTGCTTTTATAAATGAATCTGCAAGCTCAACAAAAGAATCAATAGAATTTTCAGGTAAGAGTGAATACCAAGTTAATACTCCTTTTGTGAGGGTTTCACCAAATTGTTTCACCAACACATATTCGATTTTCTTCTTGGTTAAATCATTTCCCTTGACTCCTGTAGTAAATGCGGTAACATGATCTCGCGAGTCAAGAGTCCCATCGTATTTAGGGATATCAGGCATATTGAACTTCTTGGGAATTGGCAATGGTATTGTAATTGGTTTCTAAGGCTGTTGTGAATACTTATCAATATCCACTCCTTTGATCATGGGTGGTACTCCTGGTATCTGTTCTATCCGCTCTGTTTGTTCATTGAGCTGCTTCTGCAAAGTTAGTACCAAATTTAGTAAATTAGAATCATTTGGTGTACCTGACTCTCCGGCTCCAAAATTATTTTGCATTTCACCACTTCCAGAGTTTTCCAACCCCGAATGAGGGTTTTCAAAAGTTGTATTCACTGGTGATGAGCATGTACAATACTTGGTAATCCACTTGCAAATGCACGCAAGCCTTCACCAATCTGTTGAGCAATAAACTGTTTCAAATCATCTTGCTCATTTGTTGGTTCGTATATTTGCTGGCCATCATTACGATTAGCAGATCTGTCAGTTGATTGTTTCCGTGAACGTTGTGGAGTAGTTGTGGGTGTATGGTGTGGTGGATTTCCACCTTGTTGTCTTACTTGTTCTTCTTCATCCACCTGAACAATTTCATTAGCCGTAGACATATTTTGTTACTAAAGATAAAATACGGAAAGTGAAAAGATTATTAGATTCCCTGTAACGGAACCAATTTGTTTAACCAAAAAATAATTTGTGGTCAAAGCAAATATAGAAATAAATTGGGTTTCTAATGACCAATTTTACTTCACTTTTCTATATATAAGAGAATTAGAAATAATAGAAACTATATATTCCATGAGTAAAGGAAAGGAAATCTTATTGATTATCGCAGCTTTCTTCCAGAATTGAGAGTAAGAATTTTCAATCAAGCAAGGAAATAAGAGTAAAAGATTGATTGCATATATTTGTATATTCCTTGATCCTTATACAAAATATGGAAAGGGAAGTTTATATAAAGATACAATATGTAACGGTTTTCCTCACTTAATTCCTGCCCATTACTAACATTAACTACATTAATTGACCATTACTCAAATTATTCATAGAGGCTATGGTAATAATAGACAATCGCATATGATTAGGGATTATGCTGATTCTTTTCCAATATTTGTAACCGTCGATGAATCTTCCTTTTTTGTAGTCTTCATATATTTCGTGCATATCTTTTCTTACCAGATTGTCAGATATGGTATCTTTGCAAACAATCCCGCAAGTGTTTTAACCACGCCTCATCATTCTTGTTTATTGCTTTATTCAAATATCACCTATCAACATATCATTACTCCACGTGTCACATTTTTTCCTTCCACCAATACAGTTAAGTTATAAAACTCATGTAACATAAACACCCCATAAATTTGTTGATTTAGTGTAAACACTAACAACTTGTTTGGATTGTTGTTACATGTCGTTTCATAAGTAATAATAAGATACAATACAATAGGTAACAACTATCCAAACAAGCTGTAAACGTAGGCAAATGTTTTACACATTACTTATAGTAAAAGAGCAACCTGCCATAAACCTCAAGTTAGTTGAAAGAAGTTGGCGCTGTCAAATCACCGTAAAAAGTGGAACAGACTTTATACTAATTCTTTTGTTCACAACTACACAGTTACAACTCTCTAGCCTACTCTTGCAGATTGCAAGGCTTGGACATTACAACTCAAACTATGTTACATAATTGAAATATATTCCCCTCAAACTGCAAAGGGTTTTACGTGGAAATATCAACAAAATCAAGAGCTAGCTAAAAAATTGCAAAAACGTACATCGACCATATAGGTCCACCATATCGAGCCAATCCTGCAAATGAAAACAATAGTGGGAGGAACGTGCTTGTAAATCCTCTTCAGGAAAAAGAAAAAAGGAGAACACCCTTCCACTTCCAGTCCCCAAAGAAGAAGAAAAGCAATGGAGAAAAAGGGGAATTATTGCGAAATAATCTAATTCAATTGCTTTTTTATTCGAGATATAGCCATGAAAAGAAACAATTGTAATATAATCATTAATCAGTTTCCATCAAGAATGATGAACATATGGTGCCTTAGACTTCAATTCACATTTATTTCTCATGAAAAGATCTTAATTTGACTGAAGCCATAGTTTAGCAAGCCAAATTATATATGAGACAGAGAAATGAAATTTTCCGCTGACCATAGATCCCAACTTCTTTAACATCTCAATGTCACTTGTTCATCACAGTGTAGCAGACATTCACGAGCTTTAAATGACTTCGTCAAGGTTCATAGACGGATAAGCTGGCTCAGGCGGCTTTTGAACCAAACTTTGTCAAGGTTCTTTCTTTCTTTTAATTAATATTAATATTTCAAATGTGGATCAACTCTTGGCTTTTCATAGACAAACTTTTCCTATTACCAAGAGTAGAGGCAGATATAGGATTTAAAATTAATGGGTTCATAGTATATAAGCTCCATCCGCCTCTACCAAGAGTGATCTCCTCTTGTTCTGTTTTCCAACTTCACCCTCCAATGCTTCTCCTAGATTACTTTGTCCATATACATTCATACTGATTATCAATCATCTTCAATTCTCCCTTGAGCAGCTTCTCCCTATCCACTCACCCGCTTTCCGTACCACCCCTATCATATAAAAACAACCACTAATTAANTAAAAACAGCCACTAATTAACCCCCTCCAAGTGATGAAAGCATCAGTTTAATAATCAATCACCCATGGTACCAATCTGTACCTGGAGAGTATCCATCAAACGTGAGATCTGATAAAGTGGATCGAAGATAAAGAAGAGCTCTCTCGTGACATTAACTTGAGGTATTCACAAAAAATTCTGTTAATGAAGATTCAAAGAGGCTGATAACTTAATAGTTAGGTCAGTCAGACTCAAGACGGAATGTTTGGCAGGATGAAGGAGATTAATAGTTCTTTAGACCCTTGAGATCTATTCTGATATGCTTAGTTGAAAAGTACTCTTACCGAGTGTTCCGAATGGGAAGACTTTCTGTACCAAACAATATGTAAAGTTGCATGCTTATACAGTGTTACTAATTTAAACTGAAGATGTGAATTTATACCAAAATGAAAAAAATAAAAAAGAATACTAAAGGCTATGATGTAATCAAGTTAGATTAGAGGTAATTAGTGTTGAAACTTTCTAAAAACTAACTCATGGGATTGAATCACTTTTAATTTTTCAAATGCAAAGAATACTTGTCCCTACGGACTTACGAAGCAAAGTACCTTTATAGGCATACCAACCAGCTGGGATTAGGGTTAGTTGTCATTGGCACACTCGCACTAGCATCCAGTGCGTGATAGGAGTTTTTGGTTGGTGTTTGACATGACTTTTCTCTATTTGGTTTGAGAGTGTAGGAACTGTAGACATAGGCGTGAGATGCAGTGAATTAAGGTTTTTACAGATAGTCTGTCCTAAAATAGACAAACTATTAAGTAGAAGAACTAGAGAATTCTAATTTGTTCAAAAAGACATTATTGAGTAGCAGAATGGAAAGGATCCAAATGAAGCATAATCACTGAAGAGGATTCATGTAGCTAATCCAACTAGTTTTGCATTGAGGCCCAGAAGTAGTAGTTGTTGTTATACAAAGAAGATTTGTTAAGAAATACTGCCTATGTATCAAATTCTAGCTTGCTTCCCATAAATTAATTAACAAATAAATAAATAAATCGGACAAGATTTAAGAGTCAGAATTATGTTGTCTATATTAACTTGTGCCCTGCTTTTCCTTCTACTCCTTTAAATGTTTCCAAGTACAAAAAACAACATACCCAGTAAAATCCCACTAATGGGGTCTGGGGAGAGTAGAGACCTTACCCCTACCCCGAAAAGGTTAGAGAGCCTATTTCCGGGAGACTCTTGGCTCAACAGGAGAGACAATAATATCAGAAAAGAAACAAAAGAAAATGCATGTAACAACAAGAGATGCCAGAAAGAAAATAACAACAACGAATAAGAGAAAGGACATTAACACAAAACTATGCAAAACAACAATGTAAATGTTTCCAAGTATACATACATTAATTGTTTTCTGATTAAACGATATGGGCACAGTTAAAAAAGAACAATAAACTGGCTGCACTTTTAATAAGGTAAATCATCCATAACGATGTACAAGTTCCTAATCAACAGGCACAAAAATGCTATAAAGGGATGTCTTAAGTCTTAACTACCACGACCGTTGTTAATTAGATCCTTCATAGGTCTTGATGTAATGACGTCAAACGGGTGTCATACAGGTATTGACTCTGCGATATTTCTCAATTACACTAAAAACTAGAATAAAAGGTGTACATACTTGCACATCTGACATCTGTGTAGGATCGGGTACACACCCATAAATGACTCTATATAACAAAGATCATAACTGCAACAATTTGTTCTTTTTCCTTCTTTGTTCTGGCCCCATGCTTTTAGGTACCCTATTAAGTGGAGCCTCTCTAGACCACAAATTATGAAGTATCTATTGACCAGGGATTCACAGCACATTTAGTTTTCTCTCTTTTAGAACAGCTCAAGTGCGACCCACAAAAGCCTTAAAAGCCTAGTGCTACTTTCTGAAAGCTTAATTAAAGCAGTTCAATCTCAATCATTCATAAGATATAACATATCATCCATGCATGTTTACGTAAGGTAACTGCAATTCTGGATGGAAATATATCCTACCTACAGCAAGATGAAAAGAAAAAAGACAAAAAATACAAGTCAGATACACTACTCCTGCCGTCCGAATTTATGTGGCACTCTTTCCTTTTTAGTCGGTCCCAAAAATAATGTCGCCTTTTCTTATTTAAAAACAGTTTATCTTTAGAATTCCTACTTTACCCTCAATGAATTGACTTACGACCACACAAATATCTATGGTTTGTTCTAGACCACAAGTTTCAAATGTACTGATTTCTTTCTTAAACTCCTTGTCGAGTCAAACACCGCCACATCACATAGGACGGAGGGAGAAGATGTTAGCAAAAAGGCTGAGAAAGCAATTAAGAAAACCAACAGAAAGAACAGTCTATACCTGATAGGCTGATACTTTCATCTTAATGATTGTCTGTCCCACAAGACTTGCTCATCAAACTTGGTCAGTACACCATCATCAAGTCGTTTCCATGTTCTGATCTTCTCCACACCCATCCACATCACTTTTCCCTTTCCAAGTTCTGCCTGTATAACCCTTGCTCTTCTAGGCCATCCAGCTACACCATAACCATGATATCCATAGCCTCCACCGTAGCAAAACCATATACCTTCTAGATTCCCACAGAAATCATTAGTATGATCATGACCTATAAAAACAGCCTTAACATCCCCCATTGAGACAAAGGTCTTCAAAACTCCGGAGTTTACTGATGAACATGCCACATATTCCCGGTACGTGCCAACGATATCTTTTATGGGACCTTGACGAATTTCTGGAATCGGGATATGGAAAAATGCTAGTGCAGGATGCATCATTGGCAGAGAACTCTCGACTGATTGATCAGCATACTTCCGTTGTCCCTGTGATTGTATTGACCTGCAAAATGTTAATAATAAATACTGAATAGGCTAAACCTACCTCGTCAGAGCAGAAACAATTAATGAAAACACAGAACAGAAAGTTCTAAGAAATGGCAAAATTGGGATAGAATGCTGAACAGTGAATCACTAAGTCATGCACATGGAAGGCTAATGCTGGACACAGGTACATGTGTGTGTGTATGTGCACGTGTGAAAGAGAGAGAGAGAGAGAGAGAGAGAGAGAGAGAGAGAGAATTCATATATGCTTCCTTCTAATGTCTGCCATTACAATACCTGATATCTTTTAGAAATATCACGAAGCCAACTTAGTTGAGATTCCCTGATCCAGTTATAAGTCCGAACTCCATCGACAACAGCTCTATCTCCACTGTCTAGAAAATATAGGTTAAGAATGCTGCTGTTACTAAAGTATGAGCCAGGTGCACCCCACACTTCAAGATTGTAGTTGCCAAATCCATCAATATTTGTTATTGGTTGCTGTTTTACTGGATCCGAGGTAACTTTGGTTGATGGGAAGGTTTGTGACACAGAATAATCCATCAGGGAGATTAAATACATAAGTTCCTCACGATTCATGGTAGATTCTTGATCATGGTTCCCCAAAACTGCTGCCCATGGAATTCCGGATTCTATAGCAGGAGCAAAAGCTTCAAACAAAGATTCTGCAGCATCAGTGGCACTTGCTCCGAATATGTTATCTCCTGTATAACAAAGTGAAGTGAGCTTTACAAAGTTAAGATTAGAAATGAGAGTTTCTATAATCTCAGCCACCATAAGATTAGAAATGAGAGTTTCATACATTATTGACTAATTAGAATATTTCAAAGTTAAATGAAATAACCTATTCAACAAATCCACAGTGTAATTTAAACCAAAACATCCATGTCCTGCACAAGGATAACCTAAACAAAGCATGAAATATAACACAGGGATATTAGAGAGACCTAGTTATCAAATTGAGGTACTTAATCCCAAAGCCATGGGTACATCCCTACATCATTCAAAGGATTCTTTACAGAAGAAGCACCATGTAGCTAAAACAGATTTTGACAAGCTCTCCATTCAAATAACTGAGTGAGACTAGAGCGAAATAGCAAAGACCATAGACCAATGACCTAATCAAGTTAAACTGGCCCAAATTTGATCCAAAAGATTGGAAGTGCCTGTGCACATCAGGATGCATACTCAAGTGTTAACAAGCAAAATGATAGGAAAGTGAACTTCATCACCTGTTTTCTGTTTTCTTATGACAGTGAAATTATAAGAAGTTTTCAATAGGTTGTGGACATCTGTTTTCTTGTTTTTTCAATTATCATTTGTTAGTTGTAAACGAAAAGTTTTCTCCTGAGATTGCACAAGTATCAACGCAAATGTTGAGTTGTGGATTATTTAATCGTAAAAATGATCTATATAACTCTTTGCTAAATACTTTTACTAAGGATATTTCCATTAAACCAAGCAATTTAATCTTAGAAGCTAAAAATTAAAATTAGAATACACATCCGTGGTTAAGTGATAAATGTGTGTATGAAACACACTTGTCTTGAATTCATTGGATTGGTGTAAACACCATGTGTGGGTGGATTTTATGTAACTTTTTCTCGAGCATAATACACCTTAAATTTCTTTTTATTAATTAAAAATAAAAATAAATTTTGTTTTGGTTGGGCTAGCCAAAGAAAGGAAAGGTGAATGCTCATAATTCAATCTGTAAACGACGAAGAAATTTATATATCACCGATAGTGAGTGCTGTAAATAAGCTTTGTTTAACTTCCTTTCAACGGTTGTTCCTTAAAAGTTTGTCACTGTATGATTAGGCTTGGAGGATTGATTTCACTAGGCTTGGATTCAATAGCTTGGCTTAGATATTTTTTACAATTCACCTTGATTGCCTTAAAGTACTGTTCCATGTCCTAGCGGTCTTTGAGCCTTGGCATTTCTCGAATCCCGTTAAATAACTACGGTTTCGGGACTCAACGAGTCTCTAGGTGAGACAATCGGTTGACGAGTCAGGAACCTATTTCCACCGCAAGCTCCTCAATTTGACCCGCTCTATCACGCTTTCGACATCGCCACCGGGATCTTGATCGATCGATTTAGGAAAGATGAAAACACAAAGCCCCCCTCTTTGTCTAGAACGGACTCAATCCACATCCCTTGCTTGAACCTTTGGTGTTGCTTTAACAATAAATTAGTAACCTTTATGTCTATGGTACTGTATGGGCAGCATGTAATCATGCACCCCTTCACAGTGTCAATTTTCTCGTTAAACCTACAATTCCCTGCTTGTACCCTTATGTAAATTATACCCTTCTACCATTGCCTCCTCTTACTCTCATAAGTTATACCTTCCTATTTTCACTTTCTACAAGATTTTTTTTTTCTCATTTAGAAACTTCAGCCCCGTCTCGCTGCCACCAACTACTTGCTATCTGCAATATAATACTCCTTTTTTCACCTAATGATATTTAGCAGGCACACCCTATTATTCATTTAGTTTCTTAATTATTTCATATAGTGGCTACGGAAAAGGCAGTACAAGACTTGAGGACTTAAAAGCCACACAATTAACCCTGCAACCTGTATACGAACCAACACACAATCACACATATGAAAGCAAGATTAAACTGTATCAAGTTCTGCAAAGAGGATGAGAGATTGAAACAACACCGAGCTAATATTTTAAGCAAAGAGAGCTTGATAATATATTATGATACAAGATCTAAAGAAGGTTTCTGATAATTTAGCTAAGAACTAGTCACTTTCTTTTCTTTATCTGTAATCATGTTTTTAATATCCAATATTAGCTGAAGTAGTCGCTTAGTTAGTTCCCAATGTCAGTCACGAGTTAGTTTTTGAATGTGATTGACAATCTTCCCAAATCTTAATCAATTGCTCCAAGTTTGTTAACAACCAAAAGTATTGATTATTAGATCCAACTGGAAGACAATAGGAGGAACTTGCTCTCGGAAAAACAATAATAATCAGATCCGTAACTACAAACCCTCGTATCCTGTAATAATGAAACTTTATTGGTCTTCCTGAAAGTATTTTATTTTTCTGAGTGAACTTTATATCTATCAACATTGTACTTAACAAAATACCCCATACCTCTTAAATGCGATGGCTATATATAAATTCTAATGGTCCTCCCCTAAGTCTAAATATTGCTTCAGCAGTTCAGCTCATTGAAGGTAAAGAGTTTCACAATTCAATAGGGGTCCAACAACAATTTTAAAAAATCTTCATAAATAATTTTCATCTTAAGCTGGAGTGGCTTTGAAAGGTTTACACAAGTAAATTCACTAATAAAAGATAATTGAAATTAAATTTTACTTTGGCTGAGTTGGATTTACAAAGAAAATCTGCCGACAAACAATAACGTGAGAGGACAGTAATATACTTAGGTCGCTAGATTTAGCATATTCTGACTCTTAATTATACCATTTGGGGAAAGGCAGGAAGCAGTTACTGAAAATTGATCTTAAATTAGAACTTCTGCTGAAGCAGGATGTCCCAACTGTCACCCGGAAAAGGAAAGTGTTTTTCTTACTTCAGATTATGTCAAGTCATACTTGATTTAGTTCTGAACTCTGATTATTAAGAGAAGGGAAAAGTTAAACTTATTACCAGTAAATACAATCAAGTCTGGCTTTTCAATCTCAATCATTTTCCTCAAGAACTGAGTAGTGTTGAGGTCGGAACAGTAATTGAACTCACTCTCCAATACATCTCTACACCGAGTCACCATCCCATTCCCGTAGTGCATATCCGCCACCTAAAACCATCAAACTCAAACAAAATTACAACAAAGTAACAAACAGCTGATCAATTCAGCTTTCCTAGTAAGTTTCTATTATAACCTGCAGAATTTTGAAGGTTCCGTTAGAGTTGAAACGCAGAGGCAGCTGGGGCTGCTTCTTTATCAGCTGGATATTTTGGTCGGTGGTTAGTTTACTTGAGATAATCAGTCTGTCTAGTAGATGTAAAGAAGCAATAATGAAGCTGAAGAACAACAAAGAATGGATCCAACTCGTTGCAGATTCCATAGTTTGTTTAAGGATCCAAATGGAGAAGCAGCATTAAAGATAATAGACTTCATTTTCACTAAGCTACCTACTTTGACTTGTTTATTATTTTCAATTGGAGGTTTTTCTTATGTTTGTTTTTTCTTTACTCGTTAAATGTGATTAACCACTTCACTTCATTTCAATAGACTACTCAGACCTGTACGATTTGTGTTTGGTTTTGGAAACTAAACCAAGATTTCCAACAAAAACTTGTGTTGGTTATAATTTTCTTGACAACAGTACCGTCAATTTCAAAAATTGGCATTTCAGCCCATTTTTTTCTTAAGCTAATTTCTTAAAATTATTTAAAAATACATTTTTATAGCAAATAATGTCGGGCCTCGTTTGATTGGATGAATACGGTATTATAGTACGTGCATACGACACAGGTGTTTGGTTTCTTATTTACATATACTTTGGACATAATAATTGGTCTATTGGAAACGGCTTCTCTACCTACATTAGGTAGGGGGTAAGATCTGTCTACAGACTACTCTCCCCAAACCCCACTTGTTGGGATCACACTGGATTTATTATTTTTGTTTGTTGTTTGGACATAATAATTGTAAAATTCCGGAAAAAAGTGAAAAAAAAATTCAAGTGAAAATGGTATTTGAAAATTAGAGATGTGTTTGGGCATGAATATAGTTTGGGATTGTTTTTGAATTTTTGTGAGTGATCTGAGTGAAAATTTTGAAAACAGTTTTTTGGAGTTTTTCAATTTTCGAAATTTTCAAAATTCATTTTCAAGTGAAAATTAAAAAATTTATGGTCAAACCCTGATTTCAGAATAAAGTAAAAAAAATTCATGGCCAAACGGGCTCTTAGATACTTGCAAAATATTCAAAAAATTTTAAATGTGTAGAACATGACCAAGTAAAGATAATTATCTTTATACTTACTACATAAATCAAATTTTCTAGTTCACTCAATATATATATATATACTCTTAATTTTGATATAATAATTATGTACAATATAAATATTTTTTATTTTAATTTATTAACGGGTGATATCAACATGTCTTATCGATTGGATGATGACCCAACTAGTCGTTTTGTGTATTTGCTTGTTCCCCTATTTTATGCTTTCCATATGTTTGTTTGTTGTTTTGTGACTTGCAAGGAAGGTTAGTTTGGCTTCGTGAAGGTTAGAGAGTGATTTGGAACACTTAGTCTCTTTTTGGAAGTTTAAGTTGTAAGAGTTGACCAAGGTTTGACTTTTGAGTAAACACCCTCGGATTGGTCATTTGATGGTCTCAATAAGTTCGTATGGTAATTTTGGATTTGGGTGTATGTTCGGATTTGGATTAGGAGATTCCTAGAAGGTTTTTGGTCTATTTGCCGAAAGTTAAGATTTGGAGAGGTCATAAGTTTGACGGGGAGTTGACTTTGATATTATCAGGATCCGCTTGGTGTTATAGGACATTGGATAGGTTCATTTAGTTGATTGGAACTTGTGTGCTAAGTTTGGTTGGAATCTGAAATGTTTAGGCATGATTCAGACGAGTTGGTGAAGTTAGAAAGTTGGAAGCTAAGAAATGGATTTTGAGCGTCGATTCTTGGTTTTAAAGTTGGTTGTGGTGTTTTGAGGTTTTGAATAAGTTTGGATAAGGTTTAGGGACTTGTTGGTATAATAGAACAGGGTCTTGGGGGCTCGGTGTGTTTCGTGGTGGTTTTAGATCATTTCCTTTTGGTTTGGAATTGCTAGTTTTCTAGCATTGAGCAGTTCTTCGCTATCGCGTAACTTATCTCGTGATTGCGAAGAAGGGGAGCTGGCAGGAGAGATTTCCTCTTCGTATTCGTATGGTTGGTGTCGCTTTCATATAGGATTCAGACGTAGGAGCATTACGTTCGGGTGAAAGGGGCTGCCTTCGTGATAGTGTAGTGTCAGGCACAGGAATTACCTTCGTAGTCGCAGAGCAAGGCTCGCATTTGCGTAAGCTTGGCAGGCTGGTGTCACGACCCAAAATTTCATCATAAGGGTCGTGATGACACATAGTCTCCAAGACTAGGTAAGCCTATCACCTATGATCTCAATCAACATAAAATAACTTCAAAATTAACAAAACACTGTGAAATATGATAATATTGCTAGACATGAGTACAATAAATAACTTTTCAAAATCCGGTAATACGGAGTCATAAGCTCTGCACAAAATACATAACAAGTCTCAAGAGTACATCATTTTTGGGATTCATAAACAGTAGAAAGTGAAGTAAGGGGTGACTTCGAGGCCTGGGAACGGAACAACAGGGATACTTTGAAATCTTCAACCAACCCTAGCACGTCTCCTAACGATAAGCTCGAGCTGAAGTACCTGAATCTGCACAAACAATGTGAAGAAGCATAGTATGAGTGCACCACAGTCGGTACCTAGTAAGTATCAAGACTAACCTCGGTAGAGTAATGACAAGGTTCAAGTCATGATACTCAATAATCAAATAACATATTCAATAAATTAATAACTGGCAATACAACATGAGGTGAACAGTAATATCAACAAGTCATCAATTAGAAGATAAAACATATGAAATAGCCCGATGAACGGAATTCCTCAATTTATAAAAATTCAGCCCAAAGCTTTAATGAAAATGAGTACAGGATCAATATATTACTTTTATCCCATCACAGTAACAATATCAGAGATGCCATAAAAAATCACATAATCTTAGCAAGAATAACTCCCAAAACCATCATGCACAACAACATTACAATACCATCCTTATCTCACCGTGTTTGCTAAAATAAAATAAATACCCACCTTGTCTCACCACCCGCATATTAACAAATCATCTCACCTTGTCTCGTCATATGTGCAAACCCGATATAGGACCCTTTGTCTCGCCACATTTGCAATATCAACAATAACAATAATAATAGCACAACAAGACCTCGTGCCAACTCCTAAACAATCCGCCCAACACGTCCACATATGCCAAAATCATAACAACATAACACGACAACAATTTTTATCAAGACATAGATTCACAATCTTCCAACATAGGGCACAAGGACATATCAATAAAGAAAAGCAGATGGGTGTTCAATAATTAAGCATGAATTCAGTTAATTCAATTTAGCAACAATCTCACAAATGCCCAACTTGTCCATTTTAGGAAATAAATTTCTAAAACATAATCTCTAGCATGAAAAAATCAACTCAAGTAATTATCCAAAGTGAATACACATATCTTAGAGGTCTCTCAATCAAAACAAGGTAATAAAGGCAACCTCGGTCTAAGCTAATCATAATTCACACATACGCTCCTCTACACCCTCGTCGCATCGTGTACACATCGCTTTACACATATCACGATAAGCAATTAAAGCCAAATCACAAGGGGCATTCTCCTACACATGGTTAGAGAAGATACTTAACTCAAGTAGCCCAATTTCAACACTCAAAAATAGCCTTTCCCTTAGAAATCACCTCCACTCGGCTCACATTTAACACAAAACTACTCGATAACATCAAACAATGCAAGAGGGAGAATTGCAATCTTTACCAATTTTTCAAAAAGTTAACAAAATTCAACCCCGGGCCCGCCTGGTCAAAACCTGAGTCGAGAGGTTGATCTCGACTACCTATAAAACCACAAGTCAAAATATATGATTAGTTTTCAAATCTGAGTCCACTCTCAAACCTCAGGTTTTCAATTTTCAAAACATAGTAAAAAAATCCCCAAAAGTTCTCTTCGGTTTTTATGATTTTGATGTTAACTAGGAACTAGGAACTAAGTGTTATAAATCAATCTAAAACCTCACTGAAACCAAATCAACCATCCCCGTAAGTAAAATTACAAAAAATACATATATGGAAAGCTTTAAAGGTGAAAATGGGGCTCAAATACACAAAACGACCGGGCGGGTCGCACATTAAGAACGTTACCGAGTCTAACCAAAGCTCACACTTGGAGAATTTAGCATATAGCTTCTTCTCCTTCAAAATATGGAGCAGGATCCTCAAGTGCTGCCCATGCTCTTCACGACTGCGAGAATACACCAGTATATCATCAATAAACACAATGACGAAGATATCCAGATACAACTAAAATACGTTGTTCATCAAGTGCATGAAAGTTGTTGGGGCATTGTTGAGCCTAAAGGACCTCACCAAGAACTCATACTGGCCATAACGGGTCTCGAAAGTCGTCTTGGGAATATCTGAAGCCCTGATCTTTAACTGATGGTACCCTGACCTTAAGTAAATCTTCGAGAATACCCTAGCACCCTATATCTAATCGAATAAATTATCAATACATGGTAGTGGGTACTTGTTCTTGATAGTAACCTTGTTCAGTTGCCTATAGTCTATGCACATTCTCATGGAACCGTCTTTTTGCTTCGCAAATAGAATTGGAGCACCCCAAGGTGAAACTCGATATGATGCAAAAGCAGACTCACAGATGCGTGGTATTGTTCGCAAAAGTGGAAGTTCGACACTTAGAGGAAAGCCGCAGATGCGGCCACTATTCCGCAGAATTTGGACCGCAAATGCGAAATCATTGGCAGAGTTTATATTCGAAGGGTTTCATTGGGAGTTTTAGAAATCGACTAAGGGCGATTTTTGAGAGGCTTTTTGCTACAATTGAAGAGGTAAGCAAAGATTATTCAATTTTAATGATAGATATTGATTACCCATTGATTATTACACCTAGTTTATGTGAATTTAAAGTGGAATTTGGGAATTTTAGGCTATGACATTGGAGAGTGAGATTTGGTGATTTGAGGGTTGATTGTGGTTAGAATTGGATGAAATTGGTATGATTGGACTCGTAACTGAATGGCTATTCGGAATTTGTAAATCTTGTCGGGTTCCGAGGTGCGAGTTCGGGGTTGACTTTGCATATTTTATTCAAGATCTTAGATTTCTCTTTTGGGATTGTTTCCTATGGTTTTATTGATGGTATTAATTTATTTTGCCTAGATTTGGATCATCTGGAGGTTCATCACGAGGGAAGGGCTTCTTAGAGTACTGATTTATCTTGATTGAGGTAAGTATCTTATCTAAACTTGGTTGAGGCACTAGTTGCCTAAGTTATTTGTGATAGCTATGTGCTATGGGTGGTGCACATGTGCCTGGCAGAGCCCATGTGCATGCGCCAGGGTATTTATCCATGCTTGGGG